AGTCAAGTGATCAAAAGACAGGCTGTGTTGACATCTGCTGGCAAGGAGCTCTCCAAGGTGCTAAGGAGCAATGATACCAGGCTAAAGGCTAAGGTGTGCTTGATTCAAACCATGGTCTTTTCAGTTACTCCCTATGCATCTGAAACCTGAACAATGACTGAGAATTACAGATGGAGAATCAATGCCTTTAAGGTATGGTATAGGAGAAGAGCATTGACTATCGTATGGACTGCCAAAAGAACAATTATGTCTTGGAGAAGGTACAACCAGCATACTCCTTAGAGGCAAGGATAGTAAAATTTCATCTCACACTTTGGACATGCTATTAGAAAGGGCTACTTCTTGGAAAGGTCAGCTTAAGAGAGGAAAATTCTCAATAACATGGATAGACACAGTGACTGTAACAATGGGTTCGAGCGTATCAGAGATGATAAAGAGGGCACAGGGCAGGGCTAGGTTCAAATATGTTGGTCATAGGGTCCCTATGGGTCATAGTCAACTTGATGGCACCTAATAACAACAGTAAAATAACTTGGCAATTTGAAAACCACAAGGTCCAGCAAAACTTGAGGACTATAGCTCTACTCAATCTTCTTAATTTTATCTGGAGTTGGAGGCACCTTTGGCTTCTGGGTTGTAGATGTGGCTTAGGGAGGTCATAGTCTCTTTCACCACCACCTTGTTAGATCACCAAGCCTGGGCCTGAAGGTTTGGTGGGAAGATATGTCAGAACCTGGTTGCAGTGGTCAGTGGCCAGACTCTAGGCTGCTGGCCAGAATGCTGGTTTTGTAAGTAGATGTACTCTGGCTCTGTTCCAACCCACAGAGGCTGAAGGGATGAGTTGGGAGCATGTACATGGCTTTGTGTCCTTTGCTTATCCAGACTCCCATATGCTGTATGTGTAGGCATTACATAGCTCCAGAAGTCAATCATTGCACAGAATAGAAACCAGATCTGGGGGAAGGGCCTCCTGGAGTTAGGAGCCCCAAGAACTGGTTCTTTGAGTGACCCTGTATCTACTCCTTTCTGGACTGTTTCTTCAGTAAGACTTGGGACATCCTTGGAGATCTGATGACATTTGGTGTCCTCCAAACTTTTTATGTGCTTGGGAGTAATGCAGGGATGACCTGAACATTTCTGCCTCCCTTCTGGATCTATTCTAAGTCTGTGCAAGGGGAAATCACAAGATTGGACAGTGATTGAAGTGGACCGAGAAGAATCTTGCCTACCTGCCTTCCAGCCTGGGAATTTTCTGCCCTAAGACCCCAAAATTGGCTTAAGGAAATAGTCTTGCCTTGGTCTGGAAGGAGCTCAGGCAGGAATGGGACATGTCTCTCTAAGCCCCTTCCCTAGGGAAGTGGGGCGGGGGACCCTGGATGGTGACTGCTTTCTGTTTTTTCATTCCAGGTCTACACCTTTGATTCTTAGAACTTGGCTCCATTTTGGAATCATCTGGGGGAGTTGCTGATGCCAGAGTCCAATCCTCAGAGAGTGCTTTAATTAATAAAGGGTATAGCTTGGTAAGGAGCTCTGGTGGCCTCATGGTAAGGAGCTGTACTGCCAAGCCAAAGATAAGCGGTTCAAATCCTCTGGAGGGAGAAGATGGGCAATCTCCCCCTGTGTAATTTACCTCCTCTGGAAACCCGCTGGAAGATCATTTATGAATCCGTTATGACTCAACTGTACATAGCAACATAACAGCAATTTTAAATCCCAAGGTCCAGCAAACTTTAAGAAACACTGCCCTTCTCAACCTTCCTTTATTATCTTGTCTGGAATCTGAGGCACCTTTAATTTCTCCAGTCACGAGCTGGAAGGGGAAGGACCTATCCCTGTGGGAGAACAAGCCTTAGGGACTTGGAATCCAGCTTCAAACTCTGTCCCCAGACGCTTGCTTACTCTGAGACGGGACAGGAAGTGTCCGGCAGAGGTGGGGGTGGAGGTGATTGGCAGTTAGAGGCTCCAATGGGTCGGGAGCCCCCCCTATTTCACCCCTCTCATTCCATTGGCGCCTGGGTGGAGCCGCCCCCACTGCAGGGGGCCCAGGCAGGAGGGAGTAGAGGCCAGGGCAGAGGGCGAGGTAGGAGGGTGCAAGGCGGCGGCAGCCGCGGAAGGTGAGGCCTTGGTGGGACCCGAGGGTGTGCCAGGAGGGGGCGGGGCAGACTGGTGGGTGAGCTGAAGGTCCTGGAGTGGCTGTCAGTGTGCATGTGTGTGACCGAGAGGTTGTATCTGCGACAATGTCAAGTATGCAAGCCTCTTGAGTACCAGTGAGTGCAGCTGTCAGTTAGTATGAATGTGTGTCGCTGTGCGTCTTGGGGTGCAAGTGTGGGATTACATGTGCCACCTCTCCATGTGCAGTTTCTGGTGAGAGATTGGGCTGTGTGTTTGTGTGTGCTCGAGAAACTGTGACCACCACATCAGTGACTGTGTCTTGGGAAGGTCTCTGGGGTTTCAGACTGTGTCTGCCAGCGTTAAGAGTGGGTGGCTGGGTTTGTGTGTGTCAGTGTGTGACTTCAGCAGTAACAGAGCAAGAGAGAAACTTGTGACTGTGTGTGTTCTGCATCCCGTTAGCGTAGGGGTGTCAATGTATTCACTTTATGGCGATCGTATTCAATAGCCAGTGGGACTAGTTTCTGTCAGTGTCCAGCATCCTGGCCTTTTCCCTGTACTCCAGAATCCCCTGTCAATTGCCTGTTGCTTTTTGTTTTCTCTCTGCTTGACCCAGTTTCCACATATTTTGCTGTCTTCTTCTCCTAACTTCTCTCTGTGTTGGGTTTTGACTCCCATGTACATATGCTTTTCTAGTTCTGCTTCTCATAGTCTCCACACTTGACACCCTATTTACCCTGGTCTTTGGCTTCTTGGGGTGATATCAGTGATAAGATTGTCTACTGCTGCTAAAAGCTGCCTGGAAGAGAGGAAGAATGGGTCTTAACCCACGTGAGGTGTAGCTTTTACAAGACCTGTGCTCTGTCCCTCAGCCCTGGGGCAGAGCACTGTGTGTGTGTGTGTGTGTGTGTGTGTATGTGTGTGTGTGTAGGTGACTGTGAGGAAGGGTAAATCGTGTGTGTGAGCATATGGTCTGTGTAAATATGAGTGTCTCAGTGTATCGGTGTGACTGAGTAGCTGTATTTGGGAGTCTGAAGGTGAGTGCTGGTTTTGTGTATCTGGCATCAAGGGACCAAAGGCATTTCCTGGTGCTGGGGCCTAAAGAGTGGAGGGGTAGGTGGGAAATGGCTGGAACTTCCAGGGGAGGGGAACTGGCCTCTGGCTACTCATTTTGTTTCCTAGCCTGGAGCCTCCCTCCCAGCTCTACACTCTAGCTGTGCCCTAGGGAGACATTTGCTGAGGGTTTGGGGGGCTTGGGAAGGAGAAAAGTGGGGAGCATGAGTTTGTGAGTCCGCCTGATTTTTTCCTTTGCTTATGCCCACGTGTGTTCAGGGAGTTGTTGCCAGCTGAGGGTGCCTCAGTCTACTTGTGACTGTGGCTGTGATAGGCTGTGTGAAAACATCAGGAGTCTCTCTGACAGGAACTTAAGCAGCCCTCTGCTCCGTCTTGCTGGCCCTGGCTGCATCTGTGGCTTCCTTTCCAGACTTGGGGGGAGGCCTCTTACCTTCCCAGGGCCTCGAGTGGGAGGGAAGGAGGAAGGAGGGGGGAGGGGGCCTGGCTAGGGGTGGCTGAGCTCCGGGGCCCAGAGGGGCGGGGATGGGGAAGGAGGGAACAGTTCTGGGGTCCCAGAAGTGAGTGGAGCTGAAGAAGAGTGCCGCAGCTGGCGGGAGGAGGTCCTGGAGGCCATGGACACTCGGTCACTGGGATCACAGAGGTAGGGTGGGGCTGCCCTGGGTAAATGTAACTTGCCCGGAGTGAGCACTAGGGTGAAGGGCTACGCATACTCAGACAGACACACAGACACATGGAGGCCAGCTCTCTGCTCCACTCAGAAGGAGCTAAGCTCTTCCCACTTCTGAGGTGCTTGCCCAGACCTCTTTCCTCTTATCTTCTCTCTTTTCTCTTGTCCTCCTGGCTATTTCTTTGCGGCCTTCCAGGGTCTAGATTTCCCATGTCCCAGCAACTCCCTTCTCTGTTACGGCCTTCTCTGTCTGCGTTCCTGCAGTCCCAGCCCCAGCCCTCACCTCACTGAGCCCCTACCTCCTACCATTCTTGACATGCGTCCTGTGGCCCCCACCTCTGGGCCCCTGTTTCTGCAGGCTCCCCTCCCCACCCCGCCATCCTGTCTCCATCTGCTGGCTCCTCTCCCGCCCCCAGCCTCTGGCAGCAGCCAGGGCATCTGGATCTGCTTAACTCCACAGCCTCAGCTTGCACCCTAGCCCCGTCCAGCCTCACAGGCTCCAGACCAACAAGATTCTACAGCCAGGCCCAGTGGAGTCGCCTGAGTAGCCAGAGCAGGGAGCCAGGTCCAGGAGAGAAGCATAGCAGCCAGGAGTTAGGCCTTGTGGCTGGAATCCTGGGCTGGAGAAGGGGGCAGACCCATTATGCCAGCCTTGTGCCCTAGGGTAATATAAGGACTGCCCCAGGTCAGTCAGGCAGTGACTAACCCTGGGCCAGGTGCAGATGGACATCAGGATTGCCAACAGCTGGGTTGGAGGGGTTAACGGGAGTGGCCAAGCCAGTGCCAGCACTTAGTGCCAGGGGTGGGCGCCAAGGGCGGTGGGGGAGGAGGGTGTTGCTGGCACAGTCTGTCGCCTCAAGCTTTTGTTCTGGGCCTTGAGCCTGGGACTGAGATGCAGAGTGTGTGTGTGTGTGTGTGTGTGTGTGTGTGTGTACGCGCGCATGTGCGTGCGTATGTGCCTGTGTGTGTGAGAGTGTATGGGGACCTCAGATTAGAGCTCAGTATCACCTCCACCAATGATTTCTGATATCCTTCCCCTGCTTGATGCCTCAGTTTTCCTCCTGGAAGCCCCAGTTTTGGATAGAAAGACCAGACTTTTAACTTTCTGTTTTGGGAGTGTGTGATCCTTGACCCTACTTTCTCTCCACAGATGAGCAGCAGTTGCTCGGGGCTGAGCAGGGTCCTGGTGGCCGTGGCTACAGCCCTGGTGTCTGTCTCTTCCTCCTGTCCCCAGGCCTGGGGCCCCCCAGGTAAAACCTACCCCACTCTATGACCCCAGTTCTGACTTGTAACTTGCCACTTTCAACAGTTCCCTGAAACTTCACCTGCCCCCTCAGCCCAGGCTATAATGCTTTTTACCTAATGACCCTTCCAGAGCTCAAAAGTTCACCCCTTACCCTGTCATTCTTAGAAAATGGGCTGGGATGGAGGAAGAAACTCACTTCAGAAGTGTCTTCCACAGGAGTCCAGTATGGGCAGCTTGGCAGGTCTGTGATGCTGTGTTGCCCTGGAGTGGCTGCTGGGTAAGTGCCCCTACTGGCTTTTGGTCTGACACTTGGGACCCTTTCTTGACTCTCCCCAGTCTTCACTGTCCCTTCTATCATTGGCCTCTTTGTCTGTGATTTTCAGTTCTCTATCTCTTTTAACCCTCTCTCCCATCCATCTAGCACAACAGTTTACTTGTAAGTGTTGAGTGCCACTCAGTGGCCAGTCTCTTCTAGGCAGTATCCAAACCAGGCAAATCTCCAACCATCACAGAGCTTACACCTTAGTTGGAAACATAGGTAGTAAGCTCAGGGATCATCTCTGGAAGTGATGCATCCAAGACAACAACAATGCAAGAGAGAGAGGTGGGAGAGGATAACGGGGTGGCTCCTTTTTGATGGCTGGGGAGGGATGACTTCTTTGAGAAGGTAACATTGAAATTGGTTTTGAAGGTCAGAAAGGGACAAGCATGTACAGAGTAGGGTGTAAGCTTTCCTGACGGTTAGTCAGGAACTGTTAGTGCACATGCCCTGATAGACTGAACTTGGCACTTCTGAGAAACAGGCCCAGAGTGACAGCAGTGGGGTAGGTGAGGGAGAAGAAAGGTAGGTGCTAGAGAAGAAAAGGAAGGGAGGGTGCTAGGTCATGAGGGTCTTTGAAAGCTGAGGAAAGGTGGTTGGGTTTCATTGGAAATGCAGTGAAAAACCAATGGAAAACTGAGGCATGTCTGTCTTCTATCGGAAATCTTCTCTCTATCCATTCTCATTGTGCCCTGGTGATGCTCAGCTGTTAACCAAAAAGGTTGACAGTTCAAACCCACTAGTTGCTCTGAAGTAGAACGATGTAGCAATCTGGTCCCATAAAGATTTACAACCTTGCAAACCCTAAGGGGCAGTTCTACCAGGTTCTACAGGGTTGTATGAGTCAGCAAAATTTGATGGTAGTGGCTTAAGTATTGGCTTTGGTCCATCCTTGCCTCATTTTTCCTCAGGACCTTGGTATCTTGGTTTCGGGACGGTGAACCAAGGCTACTCCAAGGACCAGCCTCTGGACAAGGGCACACATTAGTCTTGGCGCAGGCAGACACCAGTGACGCAGGCACCTACATCTGCCGGACCCTGGATGGTGCTGTGAGAGGCACAGTGACCTTGCACCTGGGCTGTGAGTTTGGAGAACAGTGATAAGACTTTATACTCGTGAGGGAACCCAAGTCCCAAGTGAGTCCTTTGTGATGGGGAGATGCTGGGCACCTCTCAGGCTCCATCTTCACTCTCTGCTTGTAGACCCTCCAGCCCGCCCTGTTGTCTCCTGCCAAGCTTCTGACTATGAGAACTTCTCCTGCACGTGGAGTCCAGGTCAGGTCAACAGTTTACCCACTTGCTACCTCACCTCCTACAGGTATGTACACGATGGGGTGTATCTGTGTATTTGGGTGTGCTGATGCAGGATGGTATGGGAAGCAAGGAGAGTGGCCTGAGGAAAGCCTGGGTAGGGGGGCAGGCCTCTCTTTGCCTTCTTGATATGAGATCACCTCCCCTTTCCCACCAGGAAGAAGACAGTGCCAGGAGATGATGACCAGAGGTAGGATATGAGCAAGGGATGGAGACTCCAACAGGGTCCCTCTGTGGACCTTTCCAAAGCTCAAGACTATATCCTTTCTCCTAGGATGAATTCATCTGCTGGGCCCTGGCTGTGCCCACAGGACCCCCCAGGCACTGCCCGCTGTGCGGTCCATGGGGCAGAGTTCTGGAGCCAGTACCGGATCAATGTGACGGAGGTGAACCCTCTGGGGGCCAGCACGCGCCTAATGGATGTGAGCTTGCAGAGCATCTGTAAGTTCCACCCTAGAAGTCTCCCTGTTCCCTGCCAGGGGACCCTTAAATTGAGCCCAGAAGACAAATGTCCCAGTGTTTACATTATGTTATATACTGTCGACTTGGAACTGACCCATAACTGACCCTCCAGCTGGTTTTCAGCAGCAGTAAATCGCATGGGAGGAGATTGTCCTTGGAGTAGCTGGTGGATTTGAACTGTATGCCTTTCGATTGGCAGCACAGCTCCTTACCACTAGGCCACTAGAGTTCCCTAATGCTTCAATATAGACTCCTTAACAGAGTTTCCAAACAGCTTCTTCCCGACACAGTTCCTCTTTCGGTATATAGAATGTCTAAATGTGTCCCCCAGGCTCCTCACAAATGATCTTGTGACAACTAAAAAGCTGAAAGGAAGCAGAGTCACTTCATCACACACTCTAGTGTACTCTCCCCAACCCCTTCTGGCTTCCTGTTTCTAGGTCTTGTACTGAGGGCAACCATGTATCAAGTTCTCCTTGCCCAGTGGAAACCCTGACCACCCACACTCTTTTTGGTCTGTGCATGGGAGAGGGGTCACGAAAGCTCTGGCTGGAATTTGGGGCCAGAGCCCCAAATTCTTCTTCGGATGGAAAGGAGAATCTCTTGTTCATTCAACAAACCTGTCAAAGCTCCACCTCCAGATTTCAATTCATGTTATAATAGGGACAGACAAGCCCCTGAGCTCAGTGGATGATCAAGTTTAAGATTTCCTCTTCTCCCTGGGAAGCACTGGCATGCAAGTGCCTTTAAGCACAGACTTTCCTGCCCTTGGGAAGTGGTGAGGAAAGGAGAGTATTTGTTGCCTCTAACTTTGTGACTTGCCACCCTCAGTGCGCCCCGACCCACCTCAGGGGTTACAAGTGGAGCCAATACCCGGTTACCCTCGCCGCCTGCTTGCCAGCTGGAAGTATCCCACCTCTTGGCCCCACCAGCCCCATTTTCTGCTCAAGTTCCGGTTGCAGTACCGCCCGGTGCAGCATCCAGCCTGGTCCACGGTGAGGCTTAGAGTACATCCTACCTGGGCCATAGGTCCTGTCTCTGTGTCCACATCTCTGGGTGTCCTGCGTGGTTTTCCCTAGCTGTCAGGTCATGGAAGCCTTGTTATCTCTCCCTCTGGAGTGCGTCCCATCCTAGCTGAGTTCTGTGCTCAGTGTTGGAGCTGCAGAGGTCGTGGACAGACCAACAGACAGAGCATCTGCCTTGCAGGGCTGTATCTTTCCTCCAAATTAATCTGTAGGAGGATGGCAGTGGCTTTTAAAAAGGAAAAAAAAAATACCCACCTTCCTTTTTTTGGGAAGATAAAGGTGTGTCTTCTACCCTGAAGCACATTCTGAAACAAATACTCATTCCTAGCTGAGGGTAGCAATGAATTCTTGTCTCTAGATAAGTTAAAGATTGGCTGGTGTTATGTATGGAAAGCAGCTGCCTGTTTGCCATACCCTATGCTGCACATTTACGTACTTTATTTCCAGGTGTATTCACAGGTATTGTACAAAGAAATAAATGGAGGCACAGAGAAGGCTAAGGCTGCTCAGGGCCTAGAACAGAAAAGATTTAAGTACAGCCTAACTCAACTGCCTACACGACTTATCCAGTACTCTCTTCTCAATACCAGTGGAGACCGACCCCACCAGCCACACCAGCTCTCCACAGATTGGAAGTGAATGGCTGCTAGGCTTGTGTACCTACGACCTAGATAATGTATCCCCCACCCCCACCTTTACCCCCAGGTGGAGCCAGTTGGGTTGGAAGAGGTGATCACAGATGCTGTGGCTGGGCTGCCCCACATAGTGCGGGTCAGCGCCCGGGACTTTCTGGACGCTGGTACCTGGAGCGCCTGGAGTCCTGAGGCTTGGGGGACTCCAAGCACTGGTGAGAGCCAAAGTCCGGGGAGAGGGCAGAGGACCCACCCCACACCATCTGTCAGCTGGCCCACTACTACTTCGTGTAAGTAGTAGTACTTGTGGCACATGCCTTGTTCATGCAGGCATAGCATCAACAGTCCCAGGCTTCAAACTTGAGTCTGCAGCCCTTAGTTTAAGCCTTGCCCCTCGGCCTTCTCCCCTATACTTACTGGCACTACTTTTATAAGCTCTTGCCACCCCAAAGTTTCCCTATGTCTAATTCAGGCCCTAGCCTTGCCCAGCAGGACCTGGCCCCTACTCCCATCGAACCTGAACACTGATCTGGCCTCCTTCCAGGGCCCTTACCAGAGGAGATACTAGCTGGAGGCCAGCAACCAGTGGGGGATCAGCCACAACTGAAGCCAGAATCACAGCTGCAGGCAGGCAGCTTCACTCCTCCAAGGCCCTCCCTCCAACCAGCCCCTCAGCCACTTGGTGAGTTGGGCAGGTGGGCAAAGAGAAACCCCAGAGAGATGAGGCATTGAGCTTGAACTCATAGTTGCATATGGTGTTTCTCCTTAGACCACAGGGTCCCCCTGGAGCAGGTTGCCATGCTGATGTCACTAGGAATCCTCTCTTTCCTGGGCTTGGTGGCTGGGTCCCTGGTCCTGGGGCTCTGGTAAGTGTCTACCTTTGGCTCTTCTGCTTCTGGTTCTCACGGATCTTCTGATGCCCAGAAGCCACTACCTTTCCCACCCTAATGATTTCCCATTGACCTCCCACTGAATCCATTTCAGTCTAGAACTATTTCCCCTGCCCTGTGTAACTTTGTTATTCCTCTCCTCACCATTTACTAACAAACCCTTTTGGAGGAGGGTGAGATGCCCTACCTTGTCAGAGACACAGCTGCCTTTCTATGTCTCAGGCTGAGACTGAGACTGGGCCAGAAGGATGGACCCCCAAAGCGTGGATTTTTGGGCCCAATCATTCCAGTGGACAAGCTTACAAGTGAGTAGGACCTTCTAGAGTTCAGAGATGAGTCCCCTCAGATTTTGAGAGTATATGTTTTAGGAACTGGCTATCCTGGTCAACGGGTGGTGGACATCACAGCAGGATCACTTCCTCATTCTTGTGATATCTGTTTTCTGGGCTCAGGCTTGATTTTTCATTCTTGAGTCCTTTCTCTTCTCTCTACGGATCCTGGAGCCCAGAATTGGACTCCCCTTCCCATTCTCAGGGGGTTAGAGCAGAGCTAGTTTTATTTCTGAGGTAACTTGGATCAGAGCTGGGTCTCTTTCCTTAAAATGTTAAGCCAAAATCCAGTCCTACTTCCTCCTCTGATTTACCTCTTGTTTTTTTCCTAGGAGTCCCAGACCTGTAGAGGTCCCAGGAGGCTAATTCTACCTGTAATTGTATTGCTGGTGTGGATGCACAGACAGAGCCCCAGGCAGGACTGGAGATCTCCACTACGAAAGGGGAGTCTAAGCTGGAAGTTCTCTTTGGAGACCATTTCTGCAAAGCCTTGGTTTCTAAACTTGCCAGGGGACAGATGTCTGGACTTGATTTCATCCCAGAGCTGGGGGTCCAGCCTGATGATGTGTGTGTGTGTGTGTGTGTGTGTGTGTGTGTGTGTGTCTGTCCATGTGTGATCATGTATATATGGAATAGAGAATATGTGTTTTCTGCATGTATGTATGTATGTAGGTACCTGGGGAGTGTGTAAGGGGTTCTTGGCCCTTGGTCTTGCCCCCACTGGGGTAGTATTGAGGTACAAATAAAAAGAATGAGGAAGTTCTCTTTACTGAGCTATTTCTCAGATCCAAATATAGGGCTCACCAGAGTGCATCGAGCCTGGAGATTACAAACAGAGACCAGTGTTCAGTGCTGCTTTATTGTTTTGGCTATTGGGGGCCTCTGCTCATACTCTCCAGCAGCTCAAAGTTCAGATCGGGTAGAGTCCCTTGGGGCCTCCTCTTTTGACGCTTAAACCACTGAACCAGGCTGCGGTTCTGGGGGTGAATGCAGACACTACGTTGAGCCAGGTGAAGCCTGGGAAAGGAAGAATCCATAGCCTGGGTCAAGGCATGTGGATAATGGTAGGGTCAAGAGATTAGGAGCAAAGGCCAGATGAAAACCTAAATTGGTGTCAAAATTAGGGGATGGAGCTGGAGTTAGGATCAGCATCTGGGGTTGGACTGCTATCAGAGCAAGGGGTTGGGGTCAGAGCTTACACAACAGCCTGGAGGTGACAGTCCCCATCAGCCTCCTGTATTTCCACTCGTATGACCTTCCTCAGCATCTTGTTTGGAAGTGGTTCTCGGTAGAGTTGAGTACAGCAGCTGGCACTGAGTGACAGTAACAATGCTAGAGGAGGACAGGGCCACATACTCAGAGGCATCATGACCCAGAATCTCCCATCAGAAAGCTAGAGGATGGACTTCCTGGACCCCCTTTGCCTCCTATCCCACCCACATCAACCCCTGGCCACCTAGACTCCCAAGCACTCACCTGCTCCAGGGTCTGGGACCAGCAGCAGCAACAGCAGCAGCATGAAGCTGCTGGTGAGTAAGAGCCCCTTCATGCTGCTCAGGCTGGAAGCGCGTCTCATTTCTCCTCCTCTCCTACCTTTTTTATAGGTGAGTCAGAGGCAGGTGGGAATGTCTTTGCTCCTCCTGTGATAGCTCTTGGGACCTAATTCTTGGCCTGTTACTACAGACCCCTTTCCCTTCTAGGAAAGCCTTTTCCTATGGGCCCCTGAACTCTGAGGAGAGAGCTGAGGAAGGAGTAGAGGTCTCATGGCCTAATAACTGAGTAAGGGCACCCAAAGATCCTTAGTGCCACCCAGTAATAGACATTCAAGTTCAGATACCTATGTTGTTGTTGTTATGTGCCGTCGAGTCGCTTGCAACTCATAGCAACCCTATGTACAACAGCCCTAAACTCTGCTCTGTCCTGTGCCAATCGCACTGTCTCTGACACTCCCATCCCGATTATCCCAGTCACTGAATCAATTTACCTCATAGAGGGCCTTCCCCTCCTGCGCTGTCCCTCCACCCTCCCAAGCATGATGTCCTTCTCCAAGGACCGGTCTCTCCTCACAACATGTCCAAAGTATGTTAGATGGAGCCTCAGAATCCTTGCCTCCAAGGAGCCACCCGGTTTAACCCTTTCCAGGACAAATCTGTTTGTTTTCCTAGCAGTCCATGGTATTCTCAATACTCTTCTCCAGCACCACAGCTCAAAGGCATCAATTCTTCTATCCTCCTTGGTCATTGTCCAACTCTCTGATGCATAACAAGTGATTGTGAAGACCATGGCCTGTATCAGATGCACCTTAGTCTCCAGAGAGACACCATTGCTCTTCAGTACTTTGGAGAGGTCCCTAACAGCATAGCCAAACATTAAAAGTTACACCCTTGGTGGTCAGACAACAACAGGCAAAATCATACATACACATAGCCCTAACTATACCCACTATCATAGGGTTGGAACTCTGGTGTCCTAGGGGTAAGTGTTGCCAATCCAAAGGCACACAGTTTGAGTCCACCAACTGCTCATTAGAAAAAAGATGGGTAATCTCCTCCTGTGAAAGCCACTGAAAACTTGCTGGTAGGTCAGTTACAACTCCAAGGCATATAACAACATACAGCTGTGTTTTCACAATCATACAAAAGCACAAAAATTCTGACAGAAGAAGACTGAGGATGTGTGGAAGCACTAATTTGTCTACGGCTGAGGCGAGGTCTTGACACATTCAGTGTGAAGCTGGGAGAAGGCTGCTTATGGTGGTACTGGCATTGCCTTGATGCTGAGGTCCTGGCTGCTTTCCCCGGAAAGATAAGACAGGGAGGATGGGTGGGGTAGATAAATCAGATAAGATAAAAGCTCTTTGGTGCCAAGTTACTGTCAAAATGGTAAATTGTTCAAGAGAAGGTACCTTTCTGTTTTGCCCAGTCCTGTTTCAGGAATGCCAACTTCTTGCCAGCAGGAGCCAAGGGGTTTCAACTCCTTGTCTTCTTGGGCAGAGTTTCCATTTCTCCCTTTTCAGAGACATAAGACTCAAAGTTCAATAACTTCCCTTTTGCCCTACTCACTTTCCAGCCCTTTCTACTATGGGCCTTGATGGAACATCTTCATCAACTAGATCGAATAATCTACAACTTCTATAGCCTTTGTGTTCCATCCTTCTGATAAAGCTCCCATGAAGTCACTGTCCAGCCTTCCTTTTTCTTCCCTCCTGATCTAAGACCCAGCCCTCAATTCCCTCTTCATGGCCACTTTAGTTATCTGGTGCTGCTCTAACAATTACTACAAATGAGTGGCTCTGACAAACAAGATTTTCCTTCCATAGTTTAAAGGCTAGAAATCTGAACGAAGGGCTGGCTCTAGAGGAAAGCATTCACCTTCTGTGGATTCTGACGGAGGGTCCTTGGCTCTTTTAATTTTTATTCCTTGGCAATTTCCCTCAGTGTCTGCTTGCTGTTTCCTGATTTAATCTGCTCTTTTTAAAAATTTTAATCAAAATTTTATAAGTTTATAAAGAACTTGAATTTCCATTCATTCATTGTTGCACATTTTCCTCCCTGCCCCTCTCCCCCCGAGTTTGTTTTTTTCTTTAGAAAAAGTTATTTCACTGTTACATAGTCCCCCTCACAGACCAATTTACTATGTAGCACTTATTCTGGACTCTTGTCACACCAATAATATCTAATCATATATTCCTTTTATACAGTTCTCTCCCTTATGCTCTTTTATATCTTAAATTATTATTTTGTTTTCGTTGAGGATATACACAGCAAAGCATATACATACAAATCCATCAGTTTCTGCATGTATCATTGGGTGATACTGATTACATTCAAGTTTTGCAATGATTTGTACCTTTTATGACTTTGTTCTTTCACTATTGACATAAATTCACTGTCCCCTACGTTCCTAATATTTCAGGTTATCAAGTGGACAAGTCACTTGGGTCCTATAAAGATAGTACTTAAAGAGTGTACCACTGTTTTCTTTTAAGGAGACTTCAGGGGATACTTTTGATTTAAGGTTTAAAGTTAATCTCAGAGTAGTCATTTTAGGGGTTCATCCAAACTTCATGATTCCAGGAAGTATAAAATTTATACTAATTTGATACAGCTCTGTATTCTATTTTGGTCAAGATTTTTCTATATAATTTTTGATCAAAATATTCAGTAATGTGCACCATCTATTTCTGGTCTCAAAACAAAGGAGGCAGTTTGTGGATGCAATTAGCCAAATTGTTCTGTGACATTGGATACAATTTTCTTAATGTGTCTGCATTCTCATTATTTCCATTTGTTCTTTTTCCATCACTAACTTTCCTTACTCTCCTTGCCTTCCCATGTTTGCTTTTGGTAAATATTTCCCATTTGCTCTCAATAGTTAATTATTTAAGGAATACATAAACCTCTGGTGATAATATTTATTTTATAATTCAAGCTATTGTTTCACTGAAAGGTGACCTTTAGGCATAGTTTCAGTTCTAAGCTTAAGAAATGTCTTAGGGCTATTGTGATGTTAAGGGGTTTTTGTTCAGAATGGCTTCCCCAGCCAGTGACTTTGACTTTGCCATACGGATGGGTGGGAATATGCAACTAAAATGTGCTAGCCTATTCACAAGGGGATTAGCTCTAGTCTTGCCACAAAACTGAACAGATTCAACAGCAGATGTTTTTAAATTTTACCACCAGCAAAGAAGCAGCATAAAATGCAGAGTGTGCATGCATCCTTTGCAGCCAGCGATTCCTGTGCCACTGACTGTGGCCTATAAGAACAGCAGCAGCAGCTGAAGCGGAGAACCAGAGACCCCCAGTGAGACCCCATGAAGCTGACCTTGGGACTGCTATCCTATGGAACTAGAGTTAAGAGCCTTTGCTCAAATTTATAGGCAGGGGAGAGCCATAACTGGCATAACTAAGAACTTTGTAAAGCCGGCTGGAGGCTGAGATGCCTGGGAGCACATTTTGGAAGCTGTCCTGAGTGACTGTATCTTGATGCCAACCTGAATTATAGCCATTTGACTTATGCACTATGGTTCTGTGTGGTCTATGAGCTATTGTAATGGATTCTGGAGAGCATTAAGATCGGTGCAAAGAGTAGAAACGGGTACAGGAGTGTGGGGGACATGTCTGACCTCATAGTAATTAGTTTTGTGCTGTGGATGTTGCTGATGGGGACAGTCCCCACTGTGGAATTACTAGAGATCAGAAATGTCCCTCCCCATGTGACCTTTGCTCTTTTTACAGCTACAGTCTCTGAAGTTCCTTCATTCTGTCTGTCCAGTAAGTTTATTACTTTTTTATGTCTTTGAATTTGAATTTTATCCCCCTCCCCATTCTGAGACCATGTATTGTGCTACTTGTCAGTGGCTAATGGTAGCTGTGCACCATGTCGTTCTGATCTCAGAAGAAGCCATCATTCATGAGGACTAGCTGCTTCTGAAGTTTTTAGATTCCTTTATTGTTTTTTACTCCAGATGAGAAGAGAGGAATAGTATTTCAGATGACCACTTGTAAACTTTTTCTACCTCAGGCACTACTCACTAAACTAAGGTATAATATGTTAATTAACATTCCAATGGAGAATCATTATAAAGAACCTCTTAAAAAATGTAAAAAAAAAAGATGTTAATTAATGAACAATATTCTGCCAACTGACTAAGTAATCCTATTAGATTATAGTCTTAAATCCTTCAATTTAGGAAACTAATTCTAGTTTTCTGGATGTTAAGGAAGTCTCCATACTTTAACTCTTGTGTGTGTGTGTGTATATGCACACACACACTATATATATTGTTGTTATGTACCATTGAATCGCTTGCAACTCATAGCAACCCTATGTACAAGAGCTCTAAACGCCATTTTATTCTGTGCCAACCTAGCCATCTCAAACACACTTAATTCCCACCGCTCCACTCACAGAATCAATCCATCTTATCGAAGGTCTTCCTCTCCTTTGCCGCCCCTCCACTCTGCCAAATATGATGTCCCTCTCTAAGGACCAGTCCCTCCTTGCAACATGCCCAAAGTATGTCAGACAAAGCTTCAGAATCCTTGACTCCAAGGAGTATATATATATATTTTTTTTAAAGTATTTTATTATTTTCTGTGTGTGTACCATCAAATCAGATCTGACTGATACAGGAGGAGATTGTTCCTCATTCTCCAGCAGAGCATCTGGTGGATTTGAACAGCGTACCTCGGGATTGCAGTGCAGCTTCTTGCCACTAGGCCACCAGAGCACCCTTATTTCTTAATTAAAGTATGTTTACAGAGAAAACTTGGTTTCCACAATTCATGCATCATGAATTTTGGTGGTTCTCAAAACGTAACATCATGCTTCCTGTTTGTTCTGTGTTTACCCTTTCCATTCATCCTCCTATCTCTTCCTGCCTTCCTAAACTTTTCCCTCGGTGAATGTTGCTCTTTTGATTTCCTGTAATCTACTGTTCTAAAGAGTATTCACTTTCCTGGTGTTTAGCGTTCACCTTATAAGCCTGTCTACTGGTTCCAAGTTGAGTCTTGTGTTCCAGGTTTGAAGGGGTTCCAAGGGTCATCG